ATGTCAAGTTATTCCCTCACCAAGGGAGAGGTTGTGAATGTTATATAAACAAACAACACCCAAATAATGAACTATTATATTTGGAGCACTTTATCTCTGAACAAAAAACATCACCTATCAATGTTGAAAAGTGTAAATTTATCACTGCATCCTCTCTCAACTGTAGCTAACATTGCACTCAAACTCATCACTGTCACCTCACAATAGTAGCAACGATCGAGAGACCACCATCCTATAAGCCATCACCACATCAATATCCAAACTCATCATCTCTACCACATCATTGGAACAACTACTCCATCATCAAATCACCATTGAAGTCATTACCCAATGGCCATCAATTAGAACTGCTTCACCTCTCACTGCTTCCACACCCCCATCTCTATGAATGTGTGAGACGAGTGAAGGAGGAAGAGCTAGTAGAAGCAAAAGACGATTGACATGATGAATGCACAATGATCAACCCAAAAAAAAAAAGTGAATAAGGTTTAATGTACTTGAAAAAAAATCTAATTTCAAAAATATTAGAAAGGTAAACGATCGCAATGAAAAAATAATAGAGAACTAAATTAAAATAAAAATAAAGTCAGAAAGTTAACCTATACTAAATTTACCTAAATTCGACTAGGGCAACTTAAGTTAGAGAATAATCATGAAAGTTTAACTTAAAAAATTATAATAATTTTAATTAATTAGTAGCATAAAAACTTGTACACTAATAATATACTAAAATTAAACTCTATTAATAATAAATATATTTGAAAAGAATTATAAATATCTTATATAATAAATCCTATTAAAACTTTTTATCTAAATACGATATTGCTAAAAAAGAGCAAAGCACATAAAAGATTTACTCTTAGATATGTGTGGTTCTAGAAGGCATACAAAAAATAATTTGAAAATGTTAGAAGTCGCCAACACAATAAACAAAAAGGATGGAGCCCTAGCACGTTTAATATGAACACTTGGGATATTTTATCTGATAGAATCTATAGTGTGTCATAGTTGGATCCAAAACCTCCATTGAAAACTTTAATGTGACATCAGATTTCCATTTTTATATCCGAATCGATTTCAACTTAGGTTAGATGAAAGAGCAAATTCCATCTTAGGTGCCCAATCAAGCATCGACATTTTTTTACGTTATCTTGTCTTTTGTCTCAATGTGGCTAATATTTTAGTCTTCTGAGACCGCTGCCTCTTCTTTCACCAATCATTACTGCCAAGCATGGTGGCTGTTAACTTTGGAAGATTTCACCAACTTACTATTATATCTTTATATTTCTGTATGATAATTATATAATACAATTTTTATTTATTTATGTGAGTTATGATCGATTATTTTCTTAAGAAATGTAATTATGTTTTTCAAAATATGTTTCAGTAAAAGCATAAAATTTTAATATTATACTTAAAATTCTATATACAATTTATTAATTATTATCATTATACATGTTAATGAATTTTTTTATTTTTAATTATTATTTTTAAGATAATAATTAATAAAATCATCATATAAAATAAAAATAATCTTAAATTTTCCTATAACTCATAAAATAATGTTATATTACATATATTAAGAAAATTGTACAATAAACTACTATAATTATATTCTGATTTTGTTGATTACGCTAAGCTAATTATGTTTGAGGGAATTAAAAACCTTTAAACCGAGGGGAAATCATAGATAAGCACCTTACAACAAATACAACAAATCATGTATTAGCCAATCAGGGGTGAATGACGGTGAGAAGTTAAACCCTAAATTTGATTAGAAATTTGGGGTCCATTCGATGCATATTTTACGCGTACCCTATTCAATTAACACATGTCAACACAGTAGTGAAAAAAATTATAGCCTTCAATCTATTCAACTTTAATGAAATCCAACTGCATTTCTTATCCTTATACTTTTTCTTTTCTTTAATTAGCTAGTAACATTTTCTAAACTTATCTGTTCATGATAAAGCAACAATGATTGATTGATTGATTAAGAATAGTTTACGAGTAATTTTTAAAAAAAGTATAGTAATTTCGGACCTTTGGATAATAGTTTAACAATGAAGTGTAGAAGAAATGTAGTTTAAACAAAATTATAGTTCAAATTATTGTAATTTAATCTCTCTCTTTTTTTGTTAAGTTGGAAGATGTAAAAAAATTTACAAGATAATTTTAACATTAACAAAGTTCAAAGAATAGATTAAATAAAAAATTTTAAAAAATAAATTATAAATCATTTTTTTTCTTCATAGATTATAAATCAAATTTAGAAGATAAAAACTACAACCTTATCATTCAAATATTTAAAACATTGAAATATAATAAATCGTTGTCACTATTCACCACTCCATTGAAGGTGTCATGTTAAGATGAATAAAAAAAATTAAATTATCAAGAAACTAATATTTCAAAGATTAAACTAAATACTATCTTTAATTTTAGTTAGAGAATTTTGATTGCTATAATACTTTTAAATTTTGTCTAAATATTAATTACAAAATTTTAAAAATTAACAAGTTCATTTAACTAACAATATGTTTGATTGAAAGAAAATGAAAAGATAAAAAGGGAGAGAGATAATTTTTTATATATATTTTATTCCGTTTACTTCGAAAATTTTAGAAAATATAACGAAAATAAGAGTGTTAAAATCACTCCCTCACATTTTTAATGTTACATCCAAAATTCGGAGAATTTGAAGAGGAAGAAAAGTGATTTTTTTTATTTAATGTCTAAATTGTTCAAAGATTATTTTTAAAATTTAAATTTGTCCTTATGTTAAAATCTTAGCATCGCGTTCATTGGTGCAATCACAAGTTTCTCATGCATAAATGACTTAGTTTTATTATTTTTTACTTAACAGATTAAGTTTAATTTGTTGACAAACAAGTGCAAAATATAATAGAGTAGTTATTTGGCGTGTTTGGAAAATAATAATCTATTTTACAATAGACTTTTTGTGATACTTAGGTGTTTTTTTTTGGAGAAAATTAAAAGTAAATTTTATCATGATTATTCATAAAAATATTATAAAATATTAAAATTTGAGTTTATTAAAGTTTTGTTGTGTAGTTTATTTGCTTGATTTAGAATGTGGTTGATTATATTGTAGTCATTATAAGATGTGATTTTGCATGCATTAAACCGATGAGTCTATTAAGATATTGTTATGCAGTTTAATCACTTGATTCATAATGATTTTACTGTGGATAAAAGAACAAATACAAAATATGGTTTGGCATACTCATTATAAACCGTGATTTTATGTGTATTATACCGTTGAGTCATCATTATTTTTTATGCTACTTTTATAACGTAAAAACATATTGGATAACTAAAGTAGCATTTGGATAACGTCCTGGACATTGGAGACACATACACTAAGCAATGAAGGACAAAGATACTAATGTTTGTATTTGTATTTGTGTATTATGTTTGGAAGTAAGAACATAATGTGGTGTATTATGTCTTATATTATATTTGAATATAAAAATTATGATGGTAATCTATGCAATTTTTAAAAATTATAAGAAATATTTTTGTGTTTAGAAATAAACTCTATGTGTCTCTAGAGTTGGGATACTAGTATTTCTTTTTTCAGAAAATACACTAGTGTCTTTCAAAGTTGTGTTTTACATGTTCTTTGTGTCTCTGTTTTTCTAACAAAATATTAGTCAAACATAATACGCGTGCTTCTGTATCTTTATGTTGGTGTGTAACAACCAAACATTACCTAGATGAACAAAGTACAAATACTTTTAAGAATTGAGCATGCCGAAAATTCTAACTTTATTAAACAATTTATTAGAATAATGTGAGACAAAAAAGAAAAAGAAAACTCTCATAAGATTTATCAAATAATTCATTAAAAATATTTTATCAATAATTCTCTTGTCATAAAACGTATAATAATAATAATTTTTAAAATTAAATAAAGAAAAAAAATTAAAAGTAAAGATTCTTTCTTCTTTCTCTTTCTTTTATCAGACAATTTGTTTTTAGTTCTCTTCTCACCGTTCGCCCCTTCTCTCCTTTTTATTAAAATCTTTCTTTCTTTTTCCATTGAATTGAACACACTCTAAAGGATGCTTGTCAATATCTTAGCAAAAAATAATAATGAACTTGGCAACTGCAAGCGGACCAACGTATGATTAATGGGTAAGCTGAGCTGAGTCAAAATTGTCTGTGTTTAATTGAGTTAATGAATATCCTCTCATATTTATGAGGGGATCTAGCCCGATTACTGTCAAATTTTAGGTCTTCGTAAAAAAATAATGTGATATACTTGTGTATAGAAATCACCTATTCTAACTCAAGAAAAATAAATTTTTAAAGAACTTTTTAATTACAATAAAGATTTTAAACATATATATATATGATAGACATACAAGGCGCCATAAATGAAGGTTATTTGTCGTAAATGAAATGATGGGGAGTTTGAAAATGCAAAAGTACAACTTAGAATATGTCACATGGAAGAAGGAAGAGAGAAGGGTTTCACGTCAAAACAAGTGACCCAAAGGGTTTTGAATTTATTGTAAGGATGTGTGTGCGCAGGAAAAGGGCATCCCCCCATGACCCAAAATCTATCTATCAATCACAGCAGGGTCCTTATCAGCTCATCCAACCCCCTGTACTACTCAAGACAACAACGGTGAAAATCCCATAATCTTATTTCTTCATTCAAATTTATTCAAATTATAAAAATGAATCAAATTTGTTCTTATAAAAATGAGTTCATATTATAATTAAAAAATGTATGTTATAAAGTGTGTTAATAGAATTTCTCAGAAATAATCCTATATGCCCCTCTCTCTCTCTCTCTCGTGTCTTATCTGTCAACGTGGGACCCCACTCTGCTCCAACCAGCGGTACCATTAGTCTTTACTTGGTTTCCAAGCTCACCCACCTTAGCTCTTCCTTTTCTCTCTCCATTATATGTCTCAATAAAACCCCAAATGACCATTCTTTAATGAACAATTCCAACACCTCTTTTTTCTCTTGTTCTCTTCTCCCACCTTCACTCTCCAAACCCCAAAATCTTGCACCAATCATAAACTCTAAATTGGGTAACCCAAGTTAGAGAAAACACACGTGATGAAAGAAGGGCTTGAAGATCAATAGCCAAACGCTTGAAGCAACATCGCCATGTTCTCAAAACTTCATCCACAACATCATCAACAACAACACCCTTTTCAATTCTCCAGAGAATGTGAAGATGATGACAGCCGGAGTAGTGGTCCTACTTTTGTTGCCGCGCAAAAACAAGTTTCCCCCAGCAGCGGCGATGGGGCCACAATTGAAGTAGTGCGTCGCCCCAGAGGCCGCCCTCCCGGCTCCAAGAACAAGCCCAAACCGCCTCTTATAATAACACGCGAGCCCGAGCCCGCGATGAGCCCATTCATCTTTGAAGTCCCGGCTGGAAGCGACGTCGTAGAGGCCCTAGCCCGGTTCAGTCACAGAAAGAACACGGGCCTGTGCGTTCTAACCGGTTCAGGAACCGTCGCTAACGTCACTCTCCGTCAACCTTCCGCCACACCCGGCGCCACCGTGACGTTCCACGGTCGCTTCGACATCCTCTCATTATCCGCGACGTTCCTCCTCCACGCCTCGCCGGCGAACCCCCATGGCTTCTCCATCTCCCTCGCCGGACCTCAGGGGCAGATCGTCGGCGGACTAGTCGTCGGCCGGTTACTTGCCGCCGGGACGGTGCTCGTGATTGCCGCGTCGTTCAACAATCCGTCGTATCACAGGCTGTCGTCGGAGGAGGACGCGCGGAACAATTCGGTTTCCGCCGGCGGCGATGCGCAGTCGCCGGCGGTGTCCAGTGGCGGTGCAGAGAGTGGGCACGTTCCGGCTGAGTCGTGTATTTATAGCAGTCATCTTCCCTCGGATGTGATTTGGGCTCCAACGGCTAGGCCCCCTTTCTGATGTTAATCACCTTAATCTGTCGTCATTTTGTTAATCATAAGTGCTTTCCGTTAATTTTTCTCTTTCTTGATTGGTTTAGTTGTAAGGTTGCTGTTAGTTTATTTAGCTCTAATCCCAAATAGAACACACTGGTTTACTTTATATTTTTGAGTAATGCTTATTGCTTAATTTCTATTCTTTCCTGGAGCTCATGTTTTTAATTATATTATAATTTCATCCGGTAAGAGATTTGCACTTGATGTTACCATAACTCGATAAAACTTAAGATTTATTTGAAAATTAGCATGAATAATTATTTTAAAAAGTTTTTATCTTTCTGATACTGTACTTGCTTCGTCCTGAGGATTGCTGCTGACATTTTGCTGTTGCTCGTATGAAATTCTTTTTTTTTATATGATTTAGGGTCTGTTTTACAGACTGTTTTTGAATTAATTATAGTCGTAATCATAATGTGCATTGGTTTACAGCCTATAAATTATGATCATTTATTTCATCGGCAAAATTGATTGCACAAACTTCAAACGGCAATTCAAACAGGATAAGGAAAAAATATTCACTTTCTGAAAATAGAAGTTTCACCGCATAAATAAACTAGCTCTTAATTTAGTAAACCTTTTAATAACGGGTTTTAATTTTGCATGAGAATATGTACAAGTTTACGTTTTATTTTAACAGTAGTAACTTTTGTGATAAATTTATGTTTATAAATTTTAACGTATTTTACGTACTAAACCTTTCTTCACGTAAAACTTGATTAATTTTTTAGATCATAAGCGAATTTGTTTTGTTTTAACTTTACTTTTTAACGGAATTAATTAGGATTGAATTGAACGATTTATCTGTATAGTTAGAAATTAAAATGAGAATTTAGAATAATTGGGAATTGAAGTAACCAATAATATAGGGTTACAAGCATTGTATGGTTACTTGACTAGTTGTTTATGTTTGTTATAAAATATTACTTTAAGAAAGAATATAAAAGTACTAGTTAAAAAAACAAAGCAAATTTTAATATACATATAGTTGAATACACAACTTGAAACGTCCAGAATGAACCTTTCTGGTGTGTATGGGACTATATATGGGGCCACATTTGGATTACATAGGTAAATTTAATAATTTAGGTAGTGGGTATTTGAGTGATTTGGAAAAGGGTAAGTGTTGGTGGTTATGAGATAATGGTATTTGATATTTGCTTTGAGGACTGAGACGGGAATATCTGTACACGCTGCTTCATTGCAGTGTAGCAGATGCGTTATTGGATGAAGAAATCTGAGTCTGAGTTGCAAGTTGGTGACTGCTACTGGGAATAGCTTTCTTGATTTGGAAAAAGTGTATGGCAGTGGAGAACGTGGCTAGGGTTGTGCTTGCCAGTTTCTAACATCACCACCTATCTCCTCTTCCTTCTTCCTTGGTGCGTTGCACTGTTCACTAACCAAAATCTCTACCTCACTTTATTTTCTTCCTTTATATCTAATCTATTCTGTACTTGTTTTTGTCTCTTTCTTGGTTTTCTCTATCACTTCACCGGAAAAAAAATATATTCTTTTTTAGTTATTAAACAATACCATATAAGACTTACTATATATACATAAATATATTATCTATTTTAATATAACCGGAGAGAGTTTAATTTAGATCTTTCTTAACTAGGGTAATAAGATGGAAGAGAGAGAATATACGAAAATATTATTATTGTTTAACTAAAGAGAAAGAGAAGCTTGAAAAGGAAAAGGCAAGTGTAACTTGCTATTGAACACTTGCTAGGACTGTGCATTTTCTTTATTGCATCATCACGGGGGAATCTTATTCTCAAGCAGATGGTTCTGAAAATTCCTAAATAGATGACATCGTTAGTGAATTTGAGGTGCATATATCCGTGAAATTTATTGCATCGATGGCACTGATTGAATTGAAGTGGGTCAAATTTTGTGCAATGGATTTCCTGTTAATTTCACATACATGAAATTAAGGGGCTCTCCCTAACCGATTGGTTTTCTTTGTTAATAGTTTGGAATTGGAATAGTTGACAAAGATATCAATGCTGCATGAGTCATCACCTTGCATGTCAAGTGTTCAGTGATGCCTATGTCATCCATAATAGTATGGTGGATCTATCTGTCTTCTATTTTTATGCCGCCATGCTTCTTTATGAGAATTGAGAAGACAACTATATAATAATTCTTCTGTTGTCTCACTCACTGGTTCACATGGGATAGATGTTATAAATGATGTAATGTCAAAAAAGAGATAGAGTCAAATAAAAAGATACCAAATAAATGTTGATATTATTTAGGTGTTTATATTGATAAATTTTCAAACAACGTGTATTTAAAAGGATTAACTTCAGTTTTAAGTTGAGTTTAAATATTTATAAATAAAAAAATTTTATAAAAAAATTCAGTTATTGTATTAAAATTATAAAAATATAATAAATGCTTTTTTTAATAAAATTTTATTATTATTAACAACTTATCTTCCATTTTTAACAAAATTTTATTTAAAATAATTCAATAAATTTAGTTTATAATTTTTTAAATGATAAAGTAAGATTTTTAGAATTATAAAATATAAAAATAATGAAACTTTATTGTATTACTAATGTGGTGTTATATTATTTAATAAATTTAATATAAAGAGTTGGTACAATAGAATAAGTTCAATTATGTTTAAGTATGTGTGGTTAATTTATTTAATAGGAAGTTATATATTTAAATTTTACTTTGTGGAAATTTTTTTAAAATTAATAACAACTACAAACTGCAAATTAAGATTTTTTTTTTGTTTTTTTAAGTTTAGAGATATCTCATAATCTCTAAAGTTAAAAATAATTATTTAATAAATTTAAATTTTACATTAATTAAGAAAAAACGTAAGTGTATTTACGTCTTTTAGAGCTACTAATTCTTAGTTTGGAAGTAAGGTACCTTTTAGTAGATTTTCGAGTGTGCTTCTAAGTTCTTTATTTCAAAAAATTCTTTAAAACACACAAAAGAATAAAAGTTTGTATGATCAATAAAATAATAAATTATAACCTTTTAAATATAAATTAAATAAAATATTTAAATTAAGTGTAAGAATTTTTAAACTTACATTAATGTAAAAAAATTATACCTTATATATAATATTTGCAAAAATTCAATATGCAAAATGTTTATGTCGTTATATTGATTCATTAATAAAATATTATTATACTTTAATTGAAGGTATATATTTACGAAAGTTTTATAGAACTATTGCCGTCGTTTTTTTTTTTTTTTTTCTATCTCCTGTCACAGAAGAATACTATTTATTTATTTACCATTTCAAAGGTTTAAAATAATAATAAATAATCACAAGTTTTCAATATTACTATTTTTAAATATAATTATAATTTTAAGAGAGCTTTACCATAACAATAGTAAAAAAAACGTTAGAGGAAGCAAATCCTATTTGATATGATTTATTTATTTATTTATTTTGTATAGGAAGACTAACGAAAGGAAATTATGAACTTTCAATATAAATTATTTTCAAAATTTTCCCATTGTAATGTTATAGAAACTTCTTAAATAAATTTAAATTCATTAAAATTTTATGAGTAATCAATTAACTAAATAGCAAGTTCTTATAGGAATAAAGAAGAACAGTTAATTATTAATGGGTATGATATACCAAATTTATATTAGTTACATTCTAATATAAATTTGGTACACATAAGAGTGAAAATATTAATTCAAAAGGAAAAGTATCTATATAACATTTATGAGGGGTAGAAAAATTGCTTGAGAAGAGTTGTATAAAATTTGTTTTTTTAAAGTGGTGGACTTTCATTGACTCGAAAAAATTAATGGGATAAATAATGATTTGACCTATCCTAAACTTATGTAATCAAAGCACATTAAGAAAACACATAAAAAGGTACTTCAATAGGGTACCTTATATGAAATAATAATAAATGAAATCATAGCGATTCTTCGTGAAAGAGTAAATTAATTTATCTCTATAATGTAAAATTATATAATTATAAAAATTATAAAATTAATGTAAAACTAAAACTTACCTCGACATAATTTAATTCTTCTTTATATATAATAGATCAATAAAATATTTATATGAAATTAAAATGTTGTTAATAATTAATATTTTTAGTAAAAGAATAAATTTTAAAATTATGAATTATTAATTAATAAATAATATTTTTAGTGATTTTTTAAAATGATTATAATTCCTTTTTATAAAAGAATTTTTTATCTTTTAAATATAGACCTCTCGTATTAATTACTTTTACAAATTTGACTTCTAATTTATTTAGGCCTATATTTATATTGGAATATTTTTTTAAAATAGTATTATTGTTTTATTCATCTCCTTGAAATAAAATAAATGAAAACACAAATGATATTTGAAATTTACAAATTTCTCTGCCTTTGAATGGAGTATTATTCTTTCACCTAAAACATAATTCATAAGAAAAAAAAGTGAGAACAAATAAACAAAAGTGAAAAAATGTATATTCCTTGTAAAAGAAATCTCCTAAGACAAATAATTCATATTTAGTTGTATTAATCGGAATACAAAGTTAACTACAAAATTAAAGGCCTCATGCATAGTTCTTCTAAGTTCTCAGCACTTTTATAACAATTGACCATTTTTGCTTATCCTCAATCCCTGGCGCTCTTCTCTCTGTAGAACTCTTTTTGTTTTCACTTGAAAAATTTGCCAAAGTCAAACACTTTGAGCAATATCTTAACAAGAGTGGGTGGGATCCTCTTTGATATCATTGCCACTATGTCAAATTTTCAAACCCTTAGTTGGGCACTAATACCATTCTCATTTCCTTTCTTTTTACCCTCTGCAATGCCCATTAATGATTCCTGTCTCGTTGTCTCATTTTATTTTGACTTTGTCGCCTTTGTGTGTCACAGTAATTTTGCCTTTGTACTATATTCATATATACAAATTATTAAATGGTAGAATTAAAAATCTAATAATGTTTTAGTATAAACTTTAAATATCAA